CATCTGCTCCCGAGATGAGGCATTCCACTGCCGGACGTCCCAGATGTCCTCATTTTTCAAGGACCGCAACTTGCCCTCCACAGTGGTCGAAAACACCCTCGACCGTGTCTCTCGCATTTCCCACAACTCATCCCTCACACCTCCTCCCCGCAATAACAACCAAAACAGGATCCCCCTCGTCCTCACGTACCACCCCACCAACCTCCGGATCCAACGCATCATCCTCCGGCACTTCCGCCATCTGCAATCTGACCCCACTACCAAAGACATTTTTCCCTCCCCACCCTTATCTGCTTTCTGGAGGGACCACACTCTCCGTGACTCCCTTGTCTGCTCCACACTCCCCACAAGCCCCACCACCCCCGGCACTATTCCCTGCAACCGCAGGAAGTGCTACACCTGCCCCCACACCTCCCCCATCACCCCCATCTCAGGCCCCAAGAAGACTTTCCACATCAAGCAGATGTTCACCTGCACATCTGCTAACGTGGTATACTGTATCCGCTGTTCCCGGTGTGGCCTCCTCTACATCGGGGAAATCAAGCGGAGGCTTGGAGACCGCTTTGTGGAACACCTACGCTCGGTTCGCAACAAACAACTGCACCTCCCAGTCGCGAACCATTTCAACTCCCCCTCCCACTCCTTGGACGACATGTCCATCCTGGGCCTCCTGCAGTGCCACAACGATACCACCCGAAGGTTGCAGGAACAGCACCTCATATTTCTCTTGGGAACCCTGCAGCCCAATGGTATCAATGTGGACTTCACAAGCTTCAAAATCTGCCCCCCGCCACTGCATCCCAAAACCAGCTCAGCTCGTCCCCGCCTCCCTAACCTGTCCATCCTTCCTCCCACCTATCCACCCCTCTCACCTCAAGCCCCATCCCCATCTCCTACCTACCAGCCTCATCCGGCCTCCTTGACCTGCCCGTCCTCCCTGGACTGACCTAACCCCTCCCTAACTCTCCACCTATACTCACCTTTACTAGCTCCATCCCCGCCTCTTTGACCTGTCTGTCTCCTCTCCACCTATCTGCTCCTTTATCCATCTTCCATCTGCCTCCCCCCTCTCTCTATTTATTTCAGAATCCCCTTCCCCTCTCCCTTTTCTGAAGAAGGGTCCAGACCCGAAACGTCAGCTTTCCTGCTCCTCTGATGCTGCTTGGCCTGCCGTGTTCATCCAGCTCTACACCTTGTTATCTCAGATTCTCCAGCATCGGCAGTTCCCACTATCTCTGGAAATATTGTATTTGGTTTCCTCAAATCTTTCATAAATACCGAGAATAACTACGACCCAAGCATTGACCTCTGCAGTAACCCACTAGTGAAAGACTTCCACTCCAAAGACCAACTTATTCCTGCTGTCTTTTTTTCTGTTTGCTAACCTATTCTCAATCCATGTCAGTGTATTAGTCCTAATCCCATGTACTGCGATTTTGCACAATAACCTCTTATGTGGGACTCTATCAAAAGCTTTCTGAAAATCCAAATACAACAGTGGATACAACAATAGTTCTCTTTCAGCTACTCTACTAGTTACATCCTCAAAAACTCCAGTAGGTTTATCAAAAATGATTTTCCTTTCATAAATTCATGATGACTTTGTGTAATCCATTTGGTAATTTCGAAGTGTCCTGTTATTACTTTCTTTATACTAGACTCTAGCATTTTTCCATTTTTGATGTTAAGCTAATTAATTTATAATTTCCTTTTTTCTCCTGCTTTCCTTTCTTAAATAGTGGCATCTACCAACCATTTGGGACTGTTCCAAGAATCCACAGAACTCAGAAAGATAATGACCATGGATCCAATATCTCCATCCCCTCCTCCTTTACTACTCTGGGATGCAAATTATCAGGCCTGGAGATTCAGTTTTCAGTCCAATTACTTCCTTCAATACTTTTTTTTATTAATACTAATTCCCTTCAATTCCTCCTTCCTAATAGACCCTTCCTTTGCCAGCATTTCTAGAAAGTTATTTGTGTATTTTTCTGTAAAACCAGTTCTAAAGTAGTTGTTTAATTGCTCTACCATTTGTTTTCCGTTATTATTTCCCCATCTCAGACTATAAGGGATCTCCATTTTCTTTGCTAATCTTCTTTTATACTTAGAGAAGATTCTACAGTCCACTTCTATGCTTCTTGCAAGTTTACTCTCATACTCAATTTTTCTGCTCTTAAACAATCTGTTGATCGTTTTTTGCTGAATTCTAAACTGCTTCAAATCTTCAGGCTTGGACTTTTTCTATCAACGTTATCTAACTCTTTTTTTAGATCTCGTACTATTTTTATTTTCTTTTGTTAGTCATGGTTAGCCAACTTTGCCTGTTGTGTTCTTTTGCCTGAAAGGAATGGATAACTGCTGCATTGCATGCAATCATTAAATAAATATTGACCATTGCCCATCCACTAGCATGTCTTTTAATGAAGTCACTCAATTTATCACAGCTAACTCACCCCTCAACTTGGGGGTTTCCTTTGTTTACATTTATGGCCCTAGTTTCAGATTGGATTACTTCACTTTCTATCCAATGAAGAATTCTGTCACATTATGGTCACTTTGTCCTAAGAACCTACTGTGAGAGACAATAAGATTATTAGTTAACCCCTTCACATTGAACAAAATCAAATCTAGGATAGCTTGTTCCCTAGTTGTTTTTTCAATGTACTGATCTAAAAAAAACCATATTTTGCATATTCCAGGAATTTATCCATCACAATATTATTGTAAACATAGTTTTTCTAAGTCACCCATGATTACTGCAGTATCCTTGTTGCTTGCATCTCTAACTTTCCATAAAATGCCATCTCCTATCTCATCACTATCATTTGGAGGCGTATAGACAATGCGCACTAATGTTTTCTGATCCCTTGCTGCTCCTTAGATCTTCTAATATTGATTCCACATCTAGATTTTCTGCATAAATATCTTTTCTGATTATTGCAGATTTCATCTTTACTCCAAGACCAGCCCACCTCTTTTTCCTATTTGCCAGTTCTTCCCAAAGTTTGAATACCCTAGATATACAGTTTCCACCCTTGGGTTATCCTGTAGTCATGTCTCCATAATCACATACAATCCTAACTTTTTACCATTTATGTTTTGTGCTATTAATTTGCCTACCTTCTGAAAATGCTCCATGGATGCAGTCTTTAGACTTGTTTTTTTAGCACTTTTATACATTTTTGTCCAATGGTCCTATTTGCAGTTAGCCCTTGCTTCCTCCGCCTATTACTTTTGTATCTTCCATTCCCACCTTTGTTTCCCTCACTTTTGCCGACCTACTCAGGTCCCCATTAGGAATCGTAGACGGGAGAATGTGCACGTTTTTATTTTAAAATAAAGAATGCAAAGTTTTATTTACAATGATAAAGGGAAGTGGACTCAAAGACCGAGTAGCAAAAGCGCTTCCGCAACTGGCTACTGAATATTATGTGGGTGATGGAGAGGGTTCAGAAAAGGGAGGGTATTGAGAAAAGAAAGACATCCATCGTCCTTACCCAAAACAAAGTCTGAAGCTTTCTTCATATCGTCTGCTGTCAGTGAAACGAGAACTGGAAGATTTGGTCTTGCAAATACAACAGCCTTCCAAGCTCCGATAGATTTTAGATTTATGGAAACCGAACATCGTCTTTAACCGTCTGTCAAAATCTCCCCTCTCTGTTTAAAAAATACACACAATGTCAATTCATACGGATTCGAGTTTTCACAAAACAAACGTCCCGGTATTAAGAAAGCCCCCAAGTTTGACCACATTCACATTAATTAGAGGTTTTTACACAACCGAGTAATGTTTGCTATAATTCATGGGCAGCGCTGGTTTTAAGTTTCAGCTCAGTGTACGAAATCACATTTCTTTGCAGTTCACTCCATTACGAACACAACGGTTGAAGGCTTTATCAGATGGCCCTTACTTCAGCTTGTGAGCGGGCTACCGACCAAAAAGACACGATTCGCTGAAAAATTCTCCCCACTTCTACTTTGCCACAGGACAGATTTAGAAAAGGCACCATTTAGATCGTGCAAACGTATAAACCCTGCGACATCACATGCCGCGTGAAAACTGACCTATTTTTACACATTGTGTACTAATAACAACAGCCAGACACAACAAAACGGCCGACAACTCTATCACAAAGACATTTTGTTTGATCCAGATGAATGTACGAGATCGGAACCAGAATCACCAAGCTACATGTATTTTCAGCGTTCTTACCAACGACCCCGTATTCTAACAATGATACCGAGCACGTTGGTTGCGATTTGACTTGATCTGTGCCATCGTGGTACTCGCCTGAACGCAGTCAGAACAAGGGCCACTCACGTTTGCACTCGCTCTCCATTGAGCGTGGCGTGCTCTTCCCTCCCAGAAAATTCACTGAAAAGCGACATTGATTGAAAGCTAATTGCAAAATCGGAGAAAATTAATTTTCAGGACGAAGAGAGATTCATTAAACCTTTTCCATACCTGCGGGCTCCGATCATAAAGCAGCACCAACACGTTGCTGCGAACGGATTCCAAACAATAAACTTCAGGCTGGAGCAAACACGGAACCAGTTGGTAAACAGCAGACAGAAGCCGACGGAGCTGGAGTTTAGTTTTGGACACTGTGTGTGTGTGTGCGCGCTAGGATGTCCGCCACAATGTAACGCGTGCGGATATCCGAGTGTCTACAACGCAACAGCCTGGAAACTGAAAGTTGTGGCGCTCACTGCAGACACATTGTCGACTTTCTGTGAAACCAGCAGCATTTCCCTTCGTTTGGTTCCCCTCCCCCTCATATTCAGCGGATCGTCAACGCCATCACAACGGAGACTACTCGGCATTCCTCAATAATTTAAATAAGAACACGTTTAAACCGACAGCGGTAACTTTGCAAACCCACTTCTCACATTCACTCGCCCAAATACTTTAGTTCAAAATGCATACATGCAATTTATAATTTACCTCTCCTGTCACTGTTCCGTATCCAAGACGCTGCAGTGCAGTGACCCACAAAAATAGGAGGTGCTCTTTGAGACAGTATCAACATAGCAGAATTACCGAGTGGAATGCGGTGAGAAAAGGAAATTAGACTCAAGATATTACATTCATGAATAATATTTTGAGCTTTGTCAGCAAGTGACCTCGACGGGAGGGAAATAAATCTAAAGCAGTCACACGCGATTCTATTGTCTCACAATGTAAACACCTTTACTTCAACCCCCTATGTGAGAATAAACACATACTTAAATTTACAAACAATGTAAACTTGGGCAGTGCACAACTCCAGAGCACCAAAACGTAGTTTGTAAATTTAGATGCAATATTACCTTTTTTTCAAAAAGGAAAACTTTTAAATATTTGTAAACAAAGCAAATGTACTCACCAAGCAAACAAAACTTCGGGATACTCGTATCCTTCTGCTGGCCTGAGCATGCTTACTATTCATTCAGCATATAGCAAGAATTTATCATATTATTTACATACGAAAGCACTTTTTATCATCAGGCGCCCAACACCATATTTGGGCATGGAGCCCCGGTTTCCTCACAGTAGCACGTTGGGAGTTGTAGTCTATTGTTGGTGAGATTCCTGTGAGGAAAATACAAACCGCGCCAAGTGTTCAAACTCCAAATCCCAGCGGTGCCGGGGGCAAAAAATGATTTGAAAATGTTATTGCCTGAAATGGCGGGAATGGCGACAATCTCTTTATCTGGCAGCTCATCAAACTGATTATTGTTACCATGTTGCTAAAGCGAGGTGCAATGTTGCTGATCAGACTGTGAAGTGGGATTTATTTGTTCACAATTGTTTTCCATGCCCATGAGTCGACGTAAAAGCACGCAAGCTACGTGCACGCTTTAAGGTAGACTGGTGTGGCAGGATCGGATTGCTGTACATCTGAAGGCTGGTGAATCGGTGCAGTCGGTGTTTTAAATCGGGAAAGAAGTGAAATTACACTATTTGCAAACTGTGTGAATCTTGTGCTGCATTGACGCTGCAGTGTAGACGCGTTGTGATATGGCAGCGGTCTGCCCTCAATGGGGACGTTTCTCTTGTCTGTGAGATGATGATCCAGGCATTTCAAAACAAAGAAAACGTGCTGCTGGGAACAGTTACTAAGTGAAAAGCGAAACCCCTGAAACAATCAGTTTAAATTACTAAAAAAACATTCGTTTTGAAAAGTAACGATCCAAATCACTTTGATGGATACATTTATATCTTAAAAATACAAACAATATTATGCATTTTCCTACTTAGCAGACTTGTATTTTGAGTACGGAAGATTTGAATGCAGCTTAGATACAAATCATAGGATTAATTCCAATATATTTTGAGCGATTAAGTAAATGTGGCATTCTGCATAAAAAGCAGTCTCCATAACCGAGTGGTATGTCATCTTAAAAACATGACTTCTTAGAAAGTCAAGTGTAGGATTAAATACTGTTGCCCAGTTTGGAGTTGTGCGCAGCGGTACAAAAAAGAGCTGAATCCACAGAACCTCGTGTGCCAGCTTATTTGCCTGTCTATTATACAATTGCCAGGACAAATCCGATGTAAAACAGGAGGAATTCATTGAGGATTTTCGAATGCGATCTTTTAAAGCTTAATGTCGCAGAAGAAGAAAGTAACATACCATCTGCATCCACTGTTTTATTTATAGTAACCTCAGAAATTGACATCACACGACCTTTACACATTAACCACAGAGGAGACATAACCCGTGCTTTTAGTCCCTTACACAAACTCCATGTCTTAGCTGCTGACCTCTCTCCTGGCTGACCTCTCTCCTTCAGTGTCTGAGATTGTTAACAGCTTTGGTATCATATTTGACACAGATGAATTTCCAAATGCACATCCATGCTGTCAGTTGTTGCAACCTCTATCACATCAGTCAGTTTTACCCTCACATAGCTTGTCTTCTGCCGAGACCCTTATTCACGCCTTTGGCCTCTCTAGATATCAACATATTCCCGCTCGGCTTCCCAAGTTCTAGCACGCTGCTTATGGTCATATAAAACTTACTTGTTCGTGTTCTTAATCACAACAAGTTCTGTTTACCCATCACCCCGAATGCTCCCTGACCTACATTAATTCCTGGTTATACAATGGTCAATTTTAAATTTCTCGTTTTTTAAAAATTATTTCATGGCCTTGACCCTCCCTATCTCTGTAATTTCTGCAGCCCCTACACTGCCTGATTGCACTTCTCCAATTCTAAACACTTAACCATTCATGCTTTTAATTGTTGTGCTCATAGTGGCTATGCCTCGACCCTAAGCTCTAGAATTTTATTTCTAAGCCATTTTGCCTTTCTTTGCTCCTCTAAGATGTTTCTTAAAATGTATCTGATTGAACCAGCTTTTGACCATCTGCCCTAATATTGTTTTCGGTAGCTCAGTGTCAAAACTTGCTTTGTAATGCCTGCAAAGCACCATTGGACATTTTAACATTTTATTATGTTAATACTGTCATATAAATCATGTTGTGACACGGAAGGGTTAACACTTCATGATACCATGTGTATAAGTATGGAGGACCAGGTTTAGCAGGAGTGGACAGTCCAAATGCACTGTCGGAAGGTGATTTCGTATTGTATCTGCTGTAAAGGGCAGAGGTAGAGGGCCGGCTTTGTCCCAGAATGTTCCTGAAGTGGTGGCTACAAACATAACAGAGAATGTGGAGGAGTCTACTTTTAACTTGTGCACGACAACCATAGTGTCAAACCACTGCATTAGTCAGGAGTTAATGTTGATTTCTATGCAGACTATAGGTGGGTCCAATATCAAGGTGATTTTGGAATCAATGCAATCTGTCAGAGCTGCACACTGTGGTCATGCAGGATCTATGCTTCTTCATTTTCTCAAGATTGCTAAGAATCATAGAATTGTTCCAGCAACGTTATGATCTCAGTAGAAACCAGTAATTTTATTTTTTCAAGTTGAAATAAACCAAAGTCCCAATTATTTACTGAAAGAATGAAGCCACACAATTCCATAGTTTAAAAGAAAATAAATGTTCCTACACAAGAGTCAAACAATGCAATACTATTTTGGGTACCCACCCATACTCTGAAAGCTAGAACCAACACAAGCTAAGCAGAATTAACAGGCAAATTGTAATTCATTATAAACTATAAATTATGTATTAAATGTCAGATACAATTAAGACAAATACTAGGAATTGGCTGAGCAGTCCACACAGCTCATGTGTCAACAAACTCAGTCACAAAGTCCTTCAAATCTCTTACGAAGAATTACAGTTAACCTTCTTTCCAGAACATGTTCTCATTGGGAGCTGGAAGCAGCACACAGCCAACTCGAGTTCCTTGGTTATGGACTTCACCAAAAAGGATACACATTTACAGAGCTTTTTACAGAAGGAGGTGGTGGTGGCATCACTTGTGATGATACTATGATTTTAAGAGATGTATTTTGTCTTTATTTTTATGAAGAGAGATTGAGACAGAGGTGCCCAATGACCTGCTCAAGCTAATAAAGTAAATAGCTTGTGAGATATTGTTTTTTTTACATTGGAACAACAGAAGCAGCATGTAGGGGTGAGGTCAAGCTCCCATAGAACCAGGATTTCAGTTTAACTTTCAGTAGCTGTCGGAATTTGGAAGCTGCTATACAGCTCTCTCTGCGGCAGCAAAATGCTTGTGTTCTCTCCCTTTCTCAGAGTTTTTTCTTGATGTTCTTTCCTCCTGGTCAGGAGAAATGTTCATGTGAGACAATCTATTTTATTGAATTTGCCTCTGCCAAGGGTTTATGGGATGGTATTATCTTGGAACAGCTAATCAGTGGTAGTTAATATATATTAACTTGTTAAGTATTTCAGTAGAGTTACAGTTAAGCTTATTTTTATAAATGTCTTATTTTGTTTGCATTTCAACTACAGTGTAATAATAAAGTGCGTTTTGCTTCAAACATGGTAGTTTAATCAATCGAATTACATCCAGAACGCAATGCCTTACACTTGCCTTTAAAAAATAAGAAAAGTTGGGGTCTAGGCTATCTTCTTAATATATTTTGAGGGAATTTGGTCTGGTCCATAACACACTAGACTAGTAATTCAGAGACCCAGCAATATTCTGAGGACTTGGATTCAAATTCCACCACAGGAGATCGTGTAATTTAAATCCAATTTTTAAAAAAATCTGGAATTAAGTCTAATGATGATTATGAAACCATTGCTGATTGTCGTAAAAACTCATCTGGTTCACTTTAGGGAAGGAAACTGCTGTCCTTACCTAGTCTGACCTACATGTGACTCCAGATCTACAGCAAAATAGTTGTCTCTTAAGGCCCTCTGAGCAATTAGGGATGAGCTTGCCTTGCCGCCCACACATGCTCAGTAGCAGCAGTGTGTACCATTACTAAATGCACTGCAGAAATTCACCAAGGCTGTTTGAACAGCACCTTCCAAACCCACGGTCACTACCATCCAGAAGGACAAGGGCAATAGATAGATGGGAACATTACTACCTTCAAGCCACTCACCATCCTGATTTGGAAATATATCACTGCTGCTTCACTGTCGCTGGGTCAAAATCTTGGAACTCCTTCCCTGTGGGTCTACCTCCAGCAAACAGTTCAAGAAAATCTCCACCACCTGCTCAAGGGATGGTATATAAATGCTGGTTCAGCCAGGGGCATCCACATTCCATTTAAAAAACGCTCAATTTGGTTTGAGTGATGTTACCTTCAAGTAACAGAGACAGCCGCAGTGAATTATTCTGTTTTTGGATGTAGCTTCTGGTTATTTCAGCTTCCCTGTCCTGGGTACATCAACTGTCACTTCCGAGATTGGATGGTTTTAAATCTCTTTATAAAGCCTTAGCCACTTCCAGTCTCTCCACAACTACCCTTTAAAGCCCCTGAAGTATTTTACATGTTTGAGTAAGGTCTCTTCACATTCTTCCAAACTGCAATGAGTACAAGTCCAACTTACTTATACTCTCCTCATAAAGCAGTCCCTCCATTTCTGGGATCAGCTTAGTGAATCTTCTCTGGACTGCCTCCAGTGCCATTATCCTTCCTTAGATAAGGTGCCCGAAACTATTCACAGTATTCCAGGTCTGGT